CTAGTAACTAAAAGAAGAATAACCAATGGGAACAGCCAGCTTGACTGTTCACTCAGAAACAAGCTCCATTTTAGCACTTCTCAAACATCCTAAAGACACATGCTCACCCCCCCCCCCCCTTTTTAAAGATGGTATCACTATGTTGCCCAGGTTGGCCTCAAACTCTCAAGCTCCCAAGTGATCTTCCTACCTCAGCCTTGTGAGAACAGATATGAACCACTGGGGCCAATCACCAGCTAAGGGATCCTACTTCCACTTTCCAGTTAAGGATAAATTACTTGCTCAAAGTCACAAAGTCAGTGAGTGGTTAAGCTGGGATTTGTTCATCAACAAGGTCTATTGTATCTATTTAGCATCTCTGCAAATCCACTTTCATTAGCTTCTTCCACTTCCTTCCTCTGTTCTCATTAAGGTCACTCATGACTTCTGAATGGTAAAATCAAATGAAAGTTCTTCCTATAAAGCTCTTGGCCATGTTTGAAACTCACCATCCCCTTCACTTCCAGGTCTTTTGGTCACTTAACAGTATTCTTTCTTCACCCCACTCCCAACTTTGCTTAACTGAAGCACTTTCTGGAGAAGGATCCAATCTCTGGTCTCTATTCTGATTCTATACTCTTTCGGGAACTTTGGTCACAACTCTACTGTAGTCCCCAAAGCTGTCTTTCAAGCTTTCAAGGTAGGAGCCTTCATTCAGAGGGCTCACGGATGCTCAGTCTCATCTCACTTTTTCCCTACCTGTTCTTTCTCTTACACGCTGTCATCTACACACTTACCTAACCCACACCAACCTTAATTCCTTATTTGCTTCTTTTCTTTCTTTTTTATTTTTTTAGACAAAGTCTCATATAATCCAAGTTGGCTTCAAAACTGTTATATAGCAGATGACTTTGAATTCCTTATAACCCTGCTTTCCGAATCCCAAGTGCTATCCCAAGTGCTGGGATTACAGGTGAGCACTACACACACTTAGCTTTTTTTCCTCCATCACTCTTTCTTGCTCAGCCTCCTTATCTTATGCTCGTCCTGAAATTCCCCTACAATACTCACAGCCAATGTCTGAGCCTCTTCCTTTACTCTCTTTGCTTCCGGACCACCATGAGACAAGCAGCACTAGTTCTCTCTGTCCTTAATGCTCTTCCTCACCACAGGCCAGAAACGATGGAACCAGCAGAACATGTACTGAAGCTTCTGAAACCAGGAGCCAAAATGCCTTCCTTATTTCAATTCTCAGACTCTGTGTGTGTGTGTGTGTGTGTGTGTGTGTGTGTGTGTGTGTGTGTGTGTGTGTCTGTCTGTCTGTCTGTCTGTCTGTTTATGTATGAGTGCAGTTGCACACTTGCTATAGCATGCCCACAGGAGTCAGTGGACAACCTTAGGTGTCAGTCCTCATGATCCACTGTTTGAGTCAGATTCTTGTTGCTTGTTACTAAGTACAACAGGCTAAGTAGCCTGCAAACTCCTGGAGATTCTCCGGTCTCTGTCTCCCATCTCCCCACAGGAGCACTGAGATTACAGACATACACTAATACGCCTGGCTTTACGTGGGTTCTAGGGAACAGAACTCAAGCCCTCACACCTGCTTGAAAAGAATACAGTCTAACACAAGCACCATTTTGCTTTTTTGATTTTTTTTTTTTTTTTTTTTTTTTTTTGGTTTTTCGAGACAGGGTTTCTCTGTGTAGCTTTGCGCCTTTCCTGTGACTCACTTGGTAGCCCAGGCTGGCCTCGAACTCACAGAGATCCGCCTGGCTCTGCCTCCCGAGTGCTGGGATTAAAGGCGTGCGCCACCACCGCCCGGCCCATTTTGCTTTTTTGTTTTGAGTTTTTGTTTGTTTGTTTTGAGACAGGGTTTCTCTGTGTAGCCCTGGCTGTCCTGGAACTTGTTCTGTAGACCAAGCTGGCCTTGAACTCAGAGATTTGCCTGGCTCTGCCTCCCAAGTGCTGGGGTTAAAGGTGTGCACCACCACTGCCTGGCAGGAATGGTTCTTTTTCATACTCCTGAAGAGACAGATAGGATGTATAATATGGAATAAATGGTTATTGGAAGTCTTAAAGAAACAGTTCTATCAGAAGGGGAATCAGTGGGGGAAGATACCCTGCTGGAGTGGAATCCAGGAAGGCTTGGGTAGTATACTTGCCATTTATTTTCTGTTCTGTTCTGTTCTGTTCTGTTTTGTTTTGTTTTGGGTTTTTTTTTTTTTTTTTTTTTTTTTGAGACAGGATCTCAAGCCTGTCTTAAACTCATGATTCTCCAACCTTCTTGAGTATGGGATTACAGAACCATACCATTGCACCTGCGTCTTTTACTTACAAACTGTCTTGCAAAGCAAACAAACAAGTCCTGCCCTCTGCCTTCTGGAAACTGCCCAATACCTGAAACATTCTCTTTAAAATCTGTATCACCCCCCAGAGCATGCCTAAAGCTCCTACTGGGGAGCTGGTGTAGTGGCCCACACCTTTAATCCCAGCACTCGGGAGGCAGAGCCAGGCGGATCTCTGTGAGTTCAAGGCCAGCCTGGGCTACCAAGCGAGTTCCAGGAAAAGGCGCAAAGCTACACAGAGAAACCCTGTCTCGAAAAACAAAAAAACAAACAAACAAAAAAAAAAAAAAAAAAAAAGAGGGCTAGAAGCAAGCAGTGGTGGTACACGCCTTCAATCCCAGCACTGGGAAGGCGGAGGCAGGTGGATCGCTGAGTTTGAGGTCAGCCTGGTCTACAGAATAAGTTCCTGGACAGCCAGGGCTACCCTGTCTCAAAAACAAAACAACAACAAAGAGGGCTGGGGCTATAGTTCAGTGCTTAGACCACTTTCCAAGTATCTACAGGGCTCAAATCACAGTACTGGAAAAAAAAAAGAAAAGAAAAGAAGAAGAAAGTGGCAGTGGGACAGTGCTTATGGGTGGAGAAGGAAGCAGAGAGACCAGCAAGTTAAGTAACAGACAATACAAGCTAACATTTACTGAATTCAGACTTTGTCTTTAGCCCTTACTGGATTCGTGGTGCTGGGCTAAGTGTTTTACACAAAGTAGTACTGTGGTCATCTTCACAGTCTTTATGAGGTAGGTGCTGCTCATATGCCAGATGAAGACTTCTATGTCCAGAGATATTAAAAAATATGTCTACAGGAATCCAGTAATCGGCAGACTGAGATTCAAACCCATGTTTGCTTGACTCTGAAGTCCCATCGCCGCTGTGCACCGAGTGCTGGGGTATACTCTATGCAAAGGAGAAGGATATGTGTGAAAGAGCAAGGGTCCCTAAATACTGCCCTAAAGGTCTGGATGATGCTCCACAAGGGGGCCCATTGCTAAACAGCAGGAAGAATGTCCTAATATGTTTATTGTCGATGACGTAGTGTCTGCTGCAAAGACAGGAACACGTTTTCCCGGAAATTCTACAGGGGAGCAGGCAGCAGCGGGAGTAAGGAAAGCCAGAAGAGAAGCCAAAAAAAGGCAATAGTGTTCACCTTTACATTTACCCAAATAAGGATCTTCCGAAAAGAAAAAACTAAACATCTTTGTAACGGGGGGGAAAAAAATCTTCAAGTTCCAATCAATCCACCGAACTCACATTAAGTGCCAACTAGGTGTTAGGCCATGCCCAAGGCAGCCTCTCTACTTCTCCTCTTCCAACAGTGAAGTCACACTAAGGTCTGTGGCTAGTTCCCACAACCCAGCGTCGTGAAGTACCCTCTCCTCCCCATTTCTACTCCTATAATGAAGGTAAACAAATTTCCTTGCAGGTTAACATAAAAATCATAAAATCTGCTACTGCACTTAACTTCAGTAAGTTTCCTATTTGAAACACTCTTTTTCACTTGACAGGTCTAGTTTTCAAGGTAAACAATAACTGAATGAGCTCAGTTTAACTCCAGAAGTATTTGATGAGAAGTTTCTAAATTGGGTGAACCACCAAGCCTTCTCCTCCAGCTAATAAGTACCTTTCTTCAAATGAATCATTTAGGACTAAGAGATGGGAACTCACATCCCCATCCTTCACTACCACTAGGTTGGAAGGTCTGGAATTAGAGACATCTCTAACTTAGTACTTTTGCTACAGATGGGCCTGAAAGTCATCTTACTTTAGAGTAGTGGCTCTCAACCTTCCTAATGCCTGCGACCCTTTAATACAGCTCCTTATGTTGTGGTGACCCCCAACCATAAAATTATTTTCGTTGCTACTTCATAACAGTAATTTTGCTACTGTTACAAATCGTTAACATAAATATCTGTGCTTTCCGATGGTCTTAGGCAACCCCTGTGACCCCAAGGGGGTCACGACCCACATGTTGAGAACCGCTGCTCTGCATCTAGTGTTATGAAAGGGGAACTGAGCTTCTGTCACTCTTGTGTAAGACACTGCTGTCCCAAAAAGGCATCGTTTCTCACTGGGGTGGGGGTGGAGGGGTTAGGGTCAAATACTTGTGCACGAACTTCAGATTTACAGGGCTACCTCTTGCTTTCCCAAACATTCAGTCTGGAAGACACTGCATAGCCAGCGGTTCGGAGCTGGGAGGAACCTCTCACCAAACTGTCTTAGCAATTCCCCTGGAAGGCTCAACCCTCAGACCAACACCAAAACACAAGGATTCCAAAGACCTTGGGGGAAGGGAGAGCTTTTCCAACCCAACTTCCCTATGCATTGCCACCCGACAGGCCCCGGCTTGGGCCAGGGTGAAGAGGCTTGTAGGTGGACACTTCGCGCCGACCAATCAATCCTCAGGAGCTCGGCCTTCTGCATTACAGGACTAGCTCAACGAGGTTAGAGGCAACCCAAGCAGAGGCAAACCACTGCGGTTTTTAAAGTCTTGTTTATGTCTGGGCCCCTCAGAGAGCCGCAACTACAGGTAGACTCCCTCCTGACATGCCCGCCATCCGCTCGCGGATTCCCAGAGGCCTCGCAGGCCCTTCAAGACCCTCCGTTTCCGGCTTCCCGGCTCAGGGCGGCCTCCATTCTGGCCTTTCAAGGCCCCTCAGACAGCCCAGACCCGTGGCTCACCCTCCAGAGTCTCGCACTGCACCAGGTTGAGGTAGTCCGCCTGGCTGAGCACCCCGGCCTTCAGGCCGCGCACTAATCCCTCCAAATAGCCATTATCCACGTTGAAATAAAGCTCCGGGAAGAACGACATGGCTGCGGCGGGGGCGGCGGGGGCGGCGGGACCAGAGAGCCCTAATGGGGCTCACGCAACTCGACTCCGAGATCAGCTGACTCGGCGCCCGCAGAGGGCTGTCAAGTGCGTCAGATGACGCAAAGCGTGCCACGTGACCACCGCGGGGCCGGCTCTTCGAGGGATCCAGCTTCCGGGTCGCCTGGCGCGCCAGCGTTGCTCAGGAGCGAGCCGCCCTCCGGGCGCCTGCGCACTAAGGCGAGGCGGGCCTTGGGCGCCCAGCCGAGAGCAAAGCAACGGCGATGGCGGAAGTCGACCGCGTGGTGGTGCTAATACCCGCAGGATTAGAGCGGGGCCCTCAATTTAGTTTTCCCGAGTTAGGCGCTTCTGTCTGGCTCTGTTGGGGCCAACCAGGTCAAGGTGAACCTGTGTGCTGTTCCTTACGCTGCGGCGACCGTCTCCTAACCAGACGGAAACCGAGGTCCAGAGAAGGGAGGGTTTTGAAACCAATGTTTAGCCACTAGCTAGACTTTACTCCCCATAAGCTAAGCTGCGCCCGCCTTCCCTGCATTTGTTGCACTAGATTCTCTGGGGCTGGCGTGTGTGGCCTCCTGCTTTCCCCCCAACAGTGGCCTGGTGCCGTAAAAATCGCCGGGATCCGTGACTCAGAAGATGGAGTAACCTAGACCCTGAGGTTATAGTGTATGCAGTTCCGGCATAACGACGCCCCCTACCCTTCGGTGCGCCCACCGACCCTTCGACAGCCACATTGAAAATAACCACAGCTTTAGGATTGGTCCCATCCTTTATTCGCGTCCCTGCCTTTGCCCAACATCCATTGGTTAGGTGCGGCTGCAGAGATTCGTAGTAGTACCCAGCTTGCGGCAGTAGCAAAAGGCATTGAAGAAGCGGCAGTAGCACGTGGCGCACGGGTCGCAGCAAGATACTTGCTGTCCCAGGCAGGACTCGTGCAGCCTTACACAGCGACGCGGAGAACGAGACTCGCGATTCTGAGGATCTAGCACCTGCATTCATAGGGGAACAAGAACGTCAGGAAACTCTGCCACCCCGATCCCAGTAGGATGGCAGTGGAGCGTGGGGCAGGGATGGTCTACAGTTCTGCCAGGTTGGATGGTCCGGAAGTGGGGAGCGAGGATGGTATCTGATGCTCCCTACCTTGCTACTTTATCCCTTTCCCTGAGGAGTTACCTCCGCCAGAGCTTCTGCCTTCCTCAGCAGGGCCTCTTCTGTTCGGTCTGCAGTTGTCCTCTTCGGGCCTTTCAGACTTAGACCTGGGGCAGACGATGTGAGGGCCACACCCACCATGCACTAAGTACCCACCTCCCAGGGTTGGGATTGGGATTGGGGGAACGAGGATTTAGCCCCATACAGGCAGATTTGTGACCAGCAATTGCCCTTGCCCTACACATCACCAACCTGCCCATACTCACCTGGGAACTCTGGGAACAGGGCCTGGTCAGGCCTTCTGATGCCTTCCAAGGGTGCCAAGCCCATCTGGACCCCCAGCGTGGGAGGCAGTGCCAGAAGCAGGGCAGAACTCAGCAGCATTACAGTCAGCATGACCTGGCTCGGCAGGAAAACCCCCCATTTAGTCTCTCCTCATCCTCAGCATACCCTACAAATGCCGAGAGAACTAACCCCAGAAAGTTAGCATTCCTGTCTAGCCTTTGCACTTACCTTTGCTTGCCGATCCTTGCCTAGAGAGCTCCTGGCCACTGGTGTCCTGAGCTTATATGGCAGGGTCTAATAAAGGGCCCACACGTGACTGCTTCCTGCAGCCAGGGCATGAGGGGCCCTCCCTGGAAAACGGGGACACAGTTGGGCTTTCTCCCTCGAACCTGAACCACTGGGAGAAGTGACTATCCAATTTGGCATAAGCCTCCAGGAACCAATTAGACTTTGGGAACAAGATAGGGTGTCCAGACCCCAAAATTTCCATAAGACCAGAAACTAGGGGTGGGTCAGGCTAGAACCATTAGCAATAATGAGGCAGGCGGCCGGTGATCTTAATTTAATTTCTGGCCCCACAGATGTTCACTTAGCCTCTTCATGGCATGTTGTTTCCTTCGCTTCCAGGAACTTTGGTCAAAGGCACCAAAGGGCCAGTGAGTGTCGCCAGGCAGGAGGAGAGTAAAAAACTAGACCCCAGGTTTCTTAGGAAGACAGGTCAAAAAAGCTCTCCCAGCTAAAACCAAGCCCTCCAGCTCTACCTCCTCTTCCCCTTCTTTAAGACCCCCCACTCTTGTTCCTGTCCCCAAGTCCCTTTCCACTTAGGGTTCCTGTAAACCAAGGGAACAGAACGCACTGTTCCCTGGGTGGGCACACAGCTTCAGAGTAAAAAGCTTTCAGCCCGCCTGCTTCATTAGTGTTAATGGCAGCTCCCTTCCGCCCTGTGTTGTCAGGTCTCTGCCCACGCCTGGTCTCATCAGCTTGAGGACATGGTGAGGGCTGCCCATTTGTGGATGGAGCAGGACCCATGGGACCCTTTGTTTGTTTGTTTGGTTTGGTTTGGGTTTGAGACAGGGCTGGCCTCCAACTTACAGAAAAACACCTGCCTCTACCTCTTAAGTGTTGGGATTAAAGGCATTCGCCACCACACTTGGTGGGACTTTTGATGTTGTTTTTGCCTGTATGTATGTATGTATGTATGTGCATCACGTGCATGCCTGGTGCCCAAGGAGGTCAGAAGAGGGTTTTTGGATCCCCTGGACCTAGAGTTGAGGATAGTTGTGAATCACCATGTAGGTGATTGGAACTGAATCTGGGTACTCTGCAAAAGCATCAAATGTTCTTAACCTCTGAGACAACTCTCTAGCCCCTTGGTGGGCTTTTTTAAAAAATCACCCATATGCCCATTTAGAAAAGGAATACAGGTTAAATCATCTTGGAGACCCCAGTGCACAAGGCAATGAGAAAAGATGGAAGAACTGTCAGGATATATAGCCCAGTCCATATGCACTCTCCTGATCAGGTAGTTGCCTGAGGAAATCTTAGCACCAGGAGTGAAAACAACAGACTGCCCTCTGGCAGCCTTCATCCAGAGTCCACATCAATTAGTGTTTGGGAAGGAGGTACTCTGCAGAGGATGGGCCTATAGCAAGCCTGTTCACAGACAGACACTGGTATCTGGGGTCTGGCATTGTGTTCTCCTGCAGGTGACTTGGTACAGTCCTCAGAGCTCAGAGTCTACTTTCTCCTTCCCAGGTTGGGGGCATGAGGAGCTGGGGAAAGCCCCTTGAGAAATAGTCCCTGAACTCACCCTTTAGGGCAGCAAGGATCAACCCTTTCTTCTCCCCTGAGAGTAGTGTAAGCAGTCACTGAGTAGGCAGTCGATGAGGCTGTCGCTGAGTAGGCCTGGCATTGAGACCTGTTTGGAAGCTGATCTGGAAGTTTGGTGCCCCACTTCAGGACTTGGTCTTCTCTGGAGTGACAGGGAGAAGAAAGCAGGCCATATCCTAGCTGCATCACTTGGAGCCCAAGAACAGCACTGCATGAAGTGTCCATGAGGTGCTTTCCCGGGTCTTATGGATTTATTGGGTTTTTTTGAGACAAGGTTTCTCTGTGTAGCCCTAGCTGTACTGGAACTTGCTCTGTAGACCGGGCTGGCCTCGAACTCAGAAAGATCCATCTGCCTCTGCCTCCGGAGTGCTGGGATTAAAGGGGTGTGCCACCACTGCCCAGCTCCCAGATCTTTTCGTCAGCCTCTGTTACTGGAGATTTTGCCTGAAAAAGGTTAAACAGGTGCACCTTGTGAGTTGAGAAGGTGCCCTAATGAGGTGAAACACTTATAATCACAATACTCAGGAGACTGAGGCAGGAGGATTGCTGAGACAGGGGGTGCTGGAGAACTGACCACACCTATTAGCACCTATCCTCAAGACAGCTCTTCATGTCTCCAGTAGGACCTCTTCCCACTCTGAAGGTCAGCTGTCTTCACCTGGTAGTATGTGTACAAGTGTATCAGCCCACTAGGCAGTGGCAGACAAGGGCCATGGTGCTTGTGGGACGATCCATGATCCTGGTCAGGTCCAGTGGAAGAGATAGTCAAGAAACCCAACCATCAAAATACAGTAACATAGGCAATAGGCAGCAAGATGGTGTCCAGCAGCAGGGACATTCAGGTAATAAAGCCACATGCTACATTAATAAGGTTCTCTGGCAGAAGAGACAATGCTAAACTTGGAGCCTCAGAAGCTTTGGGATCAGCAGAGCTATCCAGCTCTTCTCTGACTTCACAGCTTTCTAAAGGAAGTAGACATCAGGTCTGCTGATGTGTCAGAATCCAACAGACACTGCAGGAGTATTAGGACATTACCCCAGAAATGCAGAAGGAATTGTCTCATGAAATACAATTCATCCAGTTTGGAGATCCAGAATAATTATTGTAGCTGTTGTTTGCTATCAGACAAAAGAATTATTTTTACAATAAAGACCTTCCTAAATAACAAATGAAAATTGTATATTGAACATAAATAGCTTGAAAAAATGAAATACAGAAAATTTAGATGAACTTTTTTGTCATTGTTGTTGTTGTTTTGAGACAGGGTTTCTCTGTATAGCCCTGGCTGTCCTGGAACTCACTGTGTAGACCAGGCTGACCTTGAACTCACAAGCCTGCCTCTGCCTCCTGAGTGCTGGGATTAAAGGCATGCACCACCACTGCGCAGCTAGATGGATTCTTTTATCTCCTAATTTATGTGTCTTGATCAACCTCTCCATAAGCTTACCTAATTGTTTATGTACTTTATACTTATTTTTAAAGATTTTTATATTTTTATTATATGTATATGTTTGCCTTATCTTGTTGAGACCCTGTCTAAACTTTTAAAAAAATTAAAAAGACTAGGAAGATAATACAAAAAATTATACCTATATTCAGAAAAAGAGGCAGTGTATAGAATGGACAATGAGAAACCAGCATAGATAGAGCACAGAAATCTTTCACTACAAATGCCAATTTTAAAAAATAGTGACATGAAAGTCATGTGCAGTGGCACATGCCTATAATTCTGCAAGTGGGAGAGGGTCATGACTTAGAGGCCAGCATAGGCTGCATTATGAAATGCTGTTTTTTAAAAAAGCTAAGTGTCTAGGTGTGCCTTTAACCACAGTACTCGGGAGGCAGAGGCAGGCAGATCTCTGTGAGTTCCAGGCCAGCCTGGTCTACATGAGTTCACAGACAGTGATGATGGCATAGAGAGACCCTGTCTCCAAACAAACTTCAGCATGCTAAGTACTTTGATTCAAGAATGTCCAAGGACCTGTTGGGCCAGTTTGGGCACCCACCTCAGGGAAGGCTTCCTGGGGGAGGAGACCTTTCTTTGGTCATGAAACTTGAGTAGGAGTTGAAGGGTGCTGGGGCAGTATAAGTTCCTTGGATTCATAACTGACATAGAGTTTACTACTCAGTCTGGTTAACACTGCTTAACACATACTCTGTATCAAACATGGTTCCTTCCCAAAGGCCCAGCCCAATAAATAGTCGGTTGACTTTTTCTCTTTCAATTGGAACTGGGAAGCCAGTCATCTTCCAAGGTTCAGCTAGTGAGTCATCAGCAAACATCTGTAGTCATCACCACATTGTACAACTTCTGTGAGTGTGCGTGGGCTCAGACAACCTGCCACAGAACCCAGTATCATCCATAAGCACAAGCAGAGTCCAGAGGAGGAAATATGTTTACACCCTTCCCCACTCCAATCCCCTTTGCCCTACACTACAGTGTTGTCCTAAACATGGCCTGAGTTTCTTGTCATAACACTCGGTGTATACATCTATCTATCTATCTATCTATCTATCTATCTATCTATCTATCTATCTATCTATCTATCTATCATAGATATCATATCCTGAGTGCTAGAATTACAGGCATGTACCACCATACCTGGCTCTATTTTATTTATTTTTAAGATTTACTTATTTGTTATGTATACAGTGTTCTGTCCACATGTATACCTGCAGGCCAGAAGAGGGCACCAGATCTCATTACAGATGGTTGTGAGCCACCATGTGGTTGCTGGGAACTGAACTCAGGACCTCTGGAAGAGCAGTCAGTGATCTTAACCAGCTAAGCTATCTCTCCAGCCCCTTATTTTATTGTTTTGAGACAGGGTCTTACTATATATATCTGGTTAGCCTTGAACTCACAGAAATCTACCTGCCTCTCTGCCCCCAAGAGCTGTGTTAAAAGGTATATGCCACCGCACCCAGCCTCAATTCAATTTTTTGATTCAATTTTTGTTACAATTAGAAACCTTTTGAATGGCCGGGCGGCAGTGGCGCACACCTTTAATCCCAGTACTCGGGAGGCAGAGGCAGGCAGATCTCTGTGAGTTCAAGACCAGCCTAGTCTACAGAGCAAGACCCAGGACAGGCACCAAAACTACATAAAGAAACCCTGTCTCTAAAAAACCAAAAAAAAAGAAAAGAAACCTTTCCAATGTGTCCTGCTTTCCTTAGTGCTAGGGTTTGAGTATAGTTTGTGTCTCTCCCCACCCAGACTTTTATGATTAAAGTCTAGCCCCAGAGGGCAGTGAAAGAGGGAGGTAGAACCTTTTAGAAGGGCCTAGTTGGAGGCCCTTAGGTCACTGAAGTGTAGTGGGTAGCCATTCCAGCTTTGATCTAGAAGTTCCAACCCCCATTGAGACTTCGGCAACTGTCACACCTACAAGGCGGGGCCAAAGGAGGGGCCTGGAGACCCGAGATCTGGATGGGCCAGCACGCTCTCTGTTCCGGGACCCTGGATGGTGGAGTTGGGCCAAGCAGAGCTCCAGAGAACACCGCTGGACTGCGATACACCTTCCCCAGACCCTGCGACCTACCTATCCCTCAATTTGTAAGTTACGCCATTAAATAAATCTCCTTTTAACTACGTGGAGTGGCCTTAATAATTTCACCAATACTGAAGAGCTATCTTCCAAGACAGAGTAAGTTCCTGCCATAGGGTTCTTATTAAAGGAGCGAGCCTGGCTCCGCCCAGCCCCCTATCGCCTATCGCAGAGGTCACCCTGTGGCCTGGGCTGCACTCCAGCCATCTGGCACTGGACTCTTGCCAGGTCTGCGATTTGCCACATCGCCTCCTCAGCTTTAAAACTGTGAGCTAAATAAGCCTGTTGGTTTTTAATAGAATTTTTATTTATTCCTTTAGAACTTCATACATATATGCAACATGTTTTGATCGTATCCATCCTCTTATTCCCCTTGGAACCCCACTAGAGCTTCCCTAACTAGTCTCCCTCAAAATTTTTAAATAATCCAGAATCCAATTACTGCTGCCTGAGTGCGTGTGAAGAAAAACATCTCTCTCTCTCTCTCTCTCTTCAGCAGCCATCAACTACCACATCTCATCTAGCCAGTACTTTCTTGAACTCCTGCTCCTCCGGCCTCCACTTCCCAAATACTGAGATTATAGCTACACCATTATGCCCAACTAAACGTTTTCCCCCCCCATAAGTGTCTTGCTTCAGGTATTTTATTATAGTGGTGAAAAGCACTTCTATACTACTAGTTCTCTGAGGTTCTTGTTAATGTTTGATACAGGGTCTTACACTGTAGTTTAGGCTGACCTAGAACTCATATGTCACCTCAAACTTGTGGCATCTTTCTGCCACAGCCTCCCTAGTGCAGGAATTCTGGGTATGTGCCACCATACTCAGCTTTTGGTTTTGTCTTTTAAGTGTTTTATTAGAGCTGGAGACAAGGCTCAGCTGTTGAGAGCACTTGTTGTCTTGCAGAAAACCTAGGTTCCATCCCCAGCGCCCACAACCATCTGTGACTCCAGTTCCAAAGGATCTAACACAAATGCTACACAGACATACATCCAGAAAAAACACTCATACACATAAAATAAAAAAATAAACCTAAAATAATTTTAATATTTTATTACATTTATTTACTTGTGCTGGTTGGAAAGCAGTATGTATTGTGCCATGGTACACATAAGGGGGTCAGAAGACAACTTTTTTCCCCCTTTTTATTGAAAACAGATTTTTGAGCTGGGTGGTGGTGGCACATGCCTTTGATCCCAGCACTCAGGAGGCAGAGGCAGGCGGATCTCTGTGAGTTCGAGGCCAGCCTGGTCTACAGAGTGAGTTCCAGAACGGCCAGGGCTGTTACATAGAGAAACCCTGTCTCAAAAAAACAAAAAGAAAGAAAGAAAATAGATTCTTTTCTCATCCAATATATCCTGATTACAGTTTCCCCTTCCTCTACTCCTCCCGGTTCTTCCTACTTCCCCTCCAGGTACACTCCCTTTCTGTCTCTTACTAAAAAAAGAACAGGCAGGGTTAGGGATTTAGCTCAGTGGCAGAGTGCTTGCCTAGCAAGCGCAAGGCCCTGGGTTCGGTCCTCAGCTCCAAAAAAAAAATAAAATAAAATAGTAATAAAAAAAAGGACAGAGCCGGGCGGTGGTGGCGCACGCCTTTAATCCCAGCACTCGGGAGGCAGAGGCAGGTGGATCTCTGTGAGTTCGAGGCCAGCCTGGTCTCCAAAGCAAGTTCCAGGAAAGGCGCAAAGCTACACAGAGAAACCCTGTCTCGAAAAACCAAAAAAAAAAGGACAGGCTTCTAAGAGATAACAATCAAACATGACGCAATAAAATATAATGAAATAAAACAAAACCATCACATCAGGCTGAACAAGGCAACCCCAAAGAAGGAAAAGAGCCCATGAGAAGGCACAAGAATCAGAGAGCCACTGGTTCACACATTCAGGAGACCCATAAAAACACTAAGCTGAACGCTGTTACTATATGCACAGAGGACCTGTGCAGACCCTTGTTGGCTCTGTCTTGCTGTCAGAGGACAACTTTCAAGAGTCAGTTCTCTCCTTCTGCCATGTGGGTCCAGGAGAACAAACTCGGTCGTCAGACTTGACAGAGAGTGTCCTTACTGCCTGAGCCATATTGTTGGCCGCTAGCCTTTTTTTTTTTTTTTTTTTTTTTTTTTTGATGACATGATCTTACTGTGTAACCTACTGGCCTGGAACTCATAATCCACCTGTCTCAACCTTCTGGATGCTGGGATTACAGCCCATTACACATAGCTGATACTTGGAATTTCTGCCTTTACCTTTTCTGGCAGCTCAAGGTGCAAAGGCCAATCCTCACGTTTATCTTTCTTACGGAACACAGTTGCCCTACATTTTGTAACCTGTGGAAGGACCCTGTTGGAGCACATTTTCTCTGTGAATGAACATAAACACTTTGTGGCTGAATTTTTTTTTTTAAGGCAGGGTCTCACTATGTATGGCCTGAAACTCACTATGTCAATCGGGCTAGTCTTGAACTCACAAAGATCCACTTACCTCTGCCTTTTGAGTGCTGGGCTGGACTCACAGTCCCCAGCACCAACCTCGAGAGGGCAGGCATGTCAGAAATACACCTAGCTGTGGAGATAATTTTACCGGTCAGGAACTAGCCTGATGTTCTCAGGAATATTTGGCATGTTCTGTGTGCAGGATTTGAGATCTGGGGGCTACAGAGCATTTTTTTTTGTTTAATTAGAGACTCATAAAACAATACCAAGTCGCCGAGCGGTGGTGGCGCATGCCTTTAATCCCAGCACTCGGGAGGCAGAGCCAGGCGGATCTCTGTGAGTTCGAGGCCAGCCTGGGCTACCAAGTGAGTCCCAGGAAAGGCGCAAAGCTACACAGAGAAACCCCGTCTCGAAAAAAACCAAAAAAAAAAAAACAAAAAAAAAAACAATACCAAGTCTAAATAACAAGTGTCTCTTAGAATCTGTGATCAAGTACTTTATCCCCCAAAGGCACTCTTACTTTGCCCATTAGGAGAACGCCGAGGCCGTTCTTCCTCAATGGATTTTAAGAGAAGACCTTCTAGAATGATCAAAGACTGTTGCTATCCCTCCACCGAAAAGAGAAACCTGGGACCAGCAAGATGGCTCAGTGGGTAAAAGCACTGGCTGCACCAGCCAGACCTGAGTTTGATCCCTGGAACTCACAAAGCCTGGACAGGTGGGTTTCAAATTTCAAGGTCAATTTAGTGAAGCCCTGTCTCAAAAAAGCAAAAAGGGCTGGGTGGGGTGGTACATGCCCTTAATCCTAGCAATGGGGAGGCAGATGGAGCTCTATGAGTTCAAGGCCAGCCTGGTCTCTACATAGCAAGTTCCAGGCCAGCCAGGGCTACACAGTGAGACTCTGTCTTAAAACAAACAAACGAACAAACAAAAAAAAGCAAAAACAGCCGGGCGGTGGTGGCGCACGCCTTTAATCCCAGCACTCGGGAGGCAGAGCCAGGCGGATCTCTGTGAGTTCGAGGCCAGCCTGGTCTCCAAAGCGAGTTCCAGGAAAGGCGCAAAGCTACACAGAGAAACCCTGTCTCGAAAAACCAAAAAAAAAAAAAAAAAAAAAAAAAAGCAAAAACATGAGTGGGAAGTGTAGCTAGAGTTTTCCTGCCTGGCCCACAGTCATGGCAAATCTCTCTCACCCGCCAGTCCCCCAGCCACTCAGACCCGACCAAGTAAACACAGAGACTTATATTGGTTACAAACTGTATGGCTGTGGCAGGCTTCTTGCTAACTGTTCTTACAGCTTAAATTAATCCATTTCCATAAATCTATACCTTGCCACATGGCTCGTGGCTTACCGGCATCTTCACATGCGGCTTGTCATCATGGCGGTTGGCAGTGTCTCTCTCACCCAGCTTCCTGTTCTCTCAATTCTCCTCTCTGTTAGTCCCGCCTATACTTCCTGCCTGGCCACTGGCCAATCAGTGATTTATTTATTGACCAATCAGCAACACATTTGACATACAGACCATCCCACAGCAGGGAAGTGTAATCTATGCAGTTTAGAGGTAGAGCCCTTGTCTAGCATCCAGGAAATCCTAGATTCAGTCTCCAGTACTGAAAAAACCTGTTAGGAAAACAGCCAATAAGGTAACATCAGCTGCAATAAGCTAAAAGCTTAATTCAAATCATCTTAAACTATAAAAATATTGTCTCGGCCGGGCGATGGTGGTGCATGCCTTTAATCCCAGCATTTGGGAGGCAAAGCCAGGCGGATCTCTGTGAGTTCGAGGCCAGCCTGGGCTACAGAGTGAGATCCAGGACAGGAGCAAAGCTACACAGAGAAACGCTGTCTCAAAAAGCCAATAAATAAATAAATAAATAGATAGATAGATAGATAGATAGATAGATAGATAGATAGATAAATAAATAAATATTGTCTCATATACCTCAAAAAGTACAGAGGTGCAGGTTTCAGTTGAGGGCTGATAGACTACCTCTTGAATTTATAAGCACTTAGTGGAACAGACACAGTTGGTTGCTTTCCCAATTCCTGTTCCCAGTTTTGTTTGCAACAATGCCCAAATATACCAACTTCCTTAGATTCTCTAAGGCATTGCTGTGTCAGTGGGAACATTTGTGATGCATGAGATTCTATGATGAAGCCTCTGAGAAAGCTTGAGTTCCCTGGCAAAGTTTTAAAGTGGGGTTCCTAAAGATGAGGGGAACCTTTCAAAAGGAGGAAGAGACTTCTAGACTCACTTTTGCACAGTTGTTTACAACGGAAGCCTAGTGGTCCAACCTCTGTGTCATACACTTTCGGCATCCTGGTTTCAGGATCAAAATGGGATTCAGACCAGTTTGAGCCCCCCTGAAACCAAGTAACAGCTGAAGTAGTCCCAGGATTCTTCTTAAGCAACCCAAACTGAGACTGAGGCCTGCTTCCTAGGACTGGCAAAAAGTACTCAAAGCGCCCTTAACCTTCTTTGAGGGTGTAGCCTCTTACTGCTTCAATAAAGAGAAAAGAGGTAGCTGGATAGGAGGCGGGGGCATACCTTTAATCCCAGAGGCAGAGGCAGGCAGATTT